GCGACCCCACACCCAGGGAAAATTAATTTAAATTTTTTTTCTTTTATTTTTTTTGCAGGAATGTCCAAACGAAGCCGGCTTATGGTACGATTGCTATTAAAAAACAGCTTAGTCGTTCTCAAATTGAATCGGTTATCCAACTGCTCAAGAAAAAGGAGTGAATCATGCAACTCCTGCAGTGTGCATACACTTCTAGTAGAATACTATCATCCGAGTCAACCACTATCAACATAACCACACTGGGAGCCAAAAAGAGTCAGTCAAATTGGAGAATATATAAAATTTCTCACTCTCAATTCACACCTTAAATTTAAATTACATAACCTTGTATACTTCTGAAAACTGCTTTCGCACATTAATCATCCTCTATAGACACCATCTTGTCAGTTGAATACTTCCATCTCTTGGTGCTAGACAATTAGCTTGCAGAACATCGACCTTACTTTTCTTATTAGAATATTTCTAACTTTTACCAAAGGTGGCACGGCTGCTCACGGCGACCACATGCGAACGCATTCACCTCGCATTAACAACCATGTGCAACCCAACGAATGCTGAAGCGCATTTTAAAAATGTAAGTGTGCTACATTCATGGCTGTCTAGGTAACGCTGTCCTAAAAAAAGTATTTCGCCCTGAGGACACGCGCTCACTAAAATCGACGCGTTAAGATGTTGGCACCTGTTCCTAGGTCGCCCGGCGTCTCCCCGTTACAGTCAGCAGTCTGCCCAAGCAGTTATCGACTCCAGATCCGTAAGACTCCTACAGCATTCAAAGACAATTATTGTTTCAATTCTACCCATACTATATGATAAAGGGGAGTTCGCGGGTCGACTGAAACTTCGATTCGCTTCACCCCAACTTCTCCATGTGCTACCTGTTGTCTAAACTTCTGCTATGTGTGATAATTTATAATGTCTGTAGCGCAAAAATGCAGAACTCGTTTCACAAAACCACCACAAATGTGTTTCCAAACAGTTTTACTATGCCTGCTGAACGCTGTACATCAATTCAACTATCTTCTTAAAAAAACCGGTTTTCACTAAAACAGTCAGTACCTAGTGTAAGACCAGTACTGCCACAGTAATGCCACAGAAAACAAATCTTTAATTTAAGAAAGTAAACCAGAGTGCTGACTCTATTAGAGCAATACACGATGAATTTCAATTATTTAACTGGGCTTTATTACGGCAGTCTCCTGTCAGTGCACAAGCGGACGTCGTAAGCAGTGATGAACTTTTTCATCGTCATTCAGCCAGGACGAGAACAACAAACACAAATATTCCCATTTTTAGGTAACCACATCCGAATTGTTTTGACTATCTTTTTCCGAGTTCCTGGGCATTTGTAAAAAAAAACATTATACTTCTCACATCACCATATGCTGATAGTTTTCTCTCATTTCAGTGCATATGGAAATTGTCAGTGTAGATATTATTGGCTCCTAGGGCACTGCTAATCGCACGTTCCGGAACGCTTAGACGACGACAACGTTTCCTACAATCGTGATGTTATTCCTTCCTTCTCTTCTGGCCGACCGCCCGCACAACGTCTGCGAGAGCTCGCGCAGCGACAGTAGTACGCCCATAATGCGCCATACCAGCTGTCATGCAGACGCGCTCAAGGGCGGGCGCGCGGCGCGCTTGGCACAAAGCCATCGCTCCCTCCCCTCCCCCCCCGCCTCGCGCCACGCCCTGGAGGGAGGAGGGGAGGGGGCGGCGCGAAAGAACGACCGCAAGTACTACGCAGTGGTTCTGCGATGAGGCTCGCCTCTGCGCAAGAGCCGAAGAGTTCAGATAGGCTCTGAAGAGCACGCCTGTTTACTCAGTGGGAAACACGAGTGCTGACAGATAATCAGTAGCTCCTCGCCAAAATATAGGCTAGAAGGTGTAGGTGGTATGCAAACGAGAAGGATAATAATCATTTCCTGCTAGATGTCCAATAAGTCTTGCAGATCTCTCAAGACCTTATGGACGCGATCATGCCCATGGCACACACTTCTACTACACACTCACAGAATAAGACAGGATCGTCTCTCACTAGCAAACCACATTGTGGTTTTCGCAGTAACTATAGTATTCAAGTTTCTACATACTGCACTGTTCATATTTGCGGTGTTTGTTAGATAACTTAATAGGAACTTGCCCGTTAAACAGTTCAATAGCAGAGCGTTATGTGATGAAAGTTGTTTCATGTCCGATTCAGAGTCATTTTCAGCAAAGGTAAACGATGACTAACAGTATATAGTAAAATCAAATAAATTAATTATATTACTAACTCTATTTTCTAACGTGTATATTAAACAAGTCCGTGTGGTTTTTTTCTTGATAAACACAGTAAACTGAAAACTATGCTGATGCCAATACGGCAGGCGTTCCATCCATTTGCGACATCATTAATAGAACTATAAAAGAATATGGCAATATCTAATATCAAATTTCTGAATTTGCATTTTGGAAAGTTATTTTAAATACCTATTTTGGGATCTCCGTAATATTTTTATTTTCTTTCTGGCCATCGAGTTCTTTGAACTTTTGTTATACTAAATTATGCACATAATAAGAGCATTAAAGTGGATGAACGTGAATATTCCTCCCAGACGGTGTGTTTCAAAACGTAAAACAAGTTAAATGAGAGAAACACACCAACGTATTCAGAAGCTGAAAAATAACCATAAAGTAAATATTATTTGATACACGAAGATTTTTTGGAAGGGAATTGTAAATGAACATTAGTCACGTTAACATTCCATTTATTTTTTTTTAAGAATTTTCTTATGATAATTTTGATTGCCGCCATCCAGCCAGCAGTCATGATATCAAGGGTTGAATTCCTACCTCCTGAAGAACCTTGAAGTGGTTATGACATTTAAAGCACATCATCACTACAATTATAATAAAATCCTCGATGTTTTTTTTTCAAGGGGAAAAACGGGGTCCCCAAATTTTTTTCCATTTACTAAGAAAAGGCTCTTTTTCTTCCATGAACTGGGACGCTGCCCAGCCAACCCTTTACTCACGCCTGAGCGGTGCATTCGGATCCGACCGTTGACTTTAAAGGCACTCTGAAGGCGCCGCTGCCCTTGGATAAGTGCCCCCGAGAGCACCACGGGGACGGTGGCTTCACGACTCAACCTAGGGGACCAAGCACCACTTACGACTTATACTCGAGCAAATGGATTCTCGGAGGAGGGGGGAAAGTCCACTTGCCAGCCGAAAGGCAGCGGGCGAATGCGTTATTGAACACGTGTATCTACCCAAGTACCCCGTCATTGCATCGGTTAAAGCAATTGGCTGAACATGTTTCTCAAAAGGGAATGTAAACCAAGCACATTACCCAACGACACCCATACGAACACAGTAAATTAAAAAAGGCCAGTGTAGGGACATAAGCGCAATGGCACACAGACAATTAAATCTGAGAGCTTATTCAGATCCACATCACGCATTACAGGAAAGTAAAGAAGATGTTTAATCTAAACTTTGATAAATCATTAATTCTTCGGTCGACGCGTTAGAGAATTACACAGTAAAGATATATTAAGCAAGAATTTCAAGAAAAACTAAAAAATGAAAACATGTAATTCGTAAAAAAACATTACAAACCTCCAATTCTACTCATACTACATCTTATGAGTGTGATATAGTCTAATGCGGATCGAGACAACCGTGGGCAAGGATCCTTCGGCACCGAAGTTGGTGGGACCACGGCTCAATTCATGGTTCAGTGAGTCTCGCAAAATGCGGGCCGCGGACCAAACCCTTCCGTGGCGCCATGGAACGCTTCAGTAACCAAATTGGTCGGCCCCCGGCTTTAACTTGACAGTGGAAGCTCCGCAAAATGGGACTCAGCCAAACCGCTTGGCGTGTCGCGTCGGCTGTTAAAAGATGGGTCGAACCACCCGGGGTTAATTCTTAGTGAGTCGTGGATTAGCTGCAAATCGACTCGGAGCACACGCCCGGCAGATGGTAGCGCTCGGGTTACGCGTTGGGTTCGACACGGGCAATTCTTTTATGAAGTCGAGTGAGATTAGTCTCCCGCCAAAATGCGGGGGGACTCGGGGAGCCCAACAACCCGGCCTCCGTGGCGCAATGGGCTAGCCGTTCGGCTGTTAACAAAAGGTGTGTGGTTGAGCCCACCGGCGGCGCGTTTTAATTTTTTATGAAATCAGTGAGATTAGTCTCCGCAAAATGCGGGCACTCGGGAGCAAACAACCGCCTCCTGGCGGCTATGGGCTTAGCGCGTTCGGCTGTTAACCGAAAGTTGGTGTTTCGAGGCCCACCCCGGGGGGCGTTCATTCTTTATGAAGTCCAGTGAGATTTTAGCACCTCGCAAAAATGCGGGGACTCGGGGGAGCCAACAACCGCTCCTTTCAATGGGCTAGCGGTCGGCCTGTTAACCGAAGGTTTGTGGTCGAGCCCCACCGGGGCGCGTTCAATTCTTTTATGAAGTCAGTGAGATTAGTCTCCGCAAAATGCGAGACATCGGGAGCTCAACAACCGGCCTCCGTGGCGCAATGGGCTAGCGCGTTCGGCTGTTACTCGAAAGGTGGTGGTTCCGGAGCCACCCGGGGGCGTTCCAATTCTTTTTTAGAAGTCAGTGAGATTAGTCTCCGCAAAAGCGGGGACTCGGGGGAAGAAAACCGCCATGCCCGTGGCGCATAGGGCTGCGCGTTCGCGTCTGTTAACCGAAAGCGTTTGGTGGTTCAGCCCACCCGGGCGTTCAATTCCTTTTCATGAAGTCAGGAGATTATTCACCGCAAAATCGGGGGACTCGGGAGCCAACAACCGCCTCCGTGGCGGCCATGGGCTAGCGGGTTCCGCTGTTAACCGGAAGGGTTGGGGTGGGGTCGAGAACCCACGGGGCGTTCAATTCTTTGTATGAATGTCAGTGAGATTAGCTCCTCCAGCAATATGCGAGACTACTCGGGAGCAACAACCCGTCCTCGCAAATGGGCTAAGCGACGTTCGGATGTTAACCCGAAAAGGTTGGTGGTTCGAGCCCACCCGGGGGGGTGTCACATTCTTTCTTAAGTCAGTGAGATTAGTCTCCGCAGAATCGGGGGACTCGGGAAGCCCAAGAACGGCCACCGTCGCGCGCAATGGGTTTGCGCGTTCGGCTGTTAACCGAAAGGTTGGTGGTTCAGCCCACCCAGGGGCGTTCACTTCTTATTATGAAGTCATAGTGAGATTGTAGTCTACCGCCAAAATGCGGGCACTCGGGAGCCAACAACCGGCCTCCGTGGCCACATGGAGCTAGCGCGTTTTCGGCTCTTACGAAAGGTTGTTGTTCGAGCCCACCCGGGGGCGTTCAAATTCTTTTATGAAGTCAAGTGAGATTAAGCTCCGCAAAATGCGAACTCGGAGCCAAGCAACCGCCTCCTGTCGCAGATGAGTTAGCGCGTCTCGCGTGTTAACGGAAAGTTGGATGGTTCGAGCACACCGGGGGTTCAATTCTCTTTATGAGTCAGTGGACGATTAAGTCTTCGGGCAATCGGGGACTCGGGGAGCCAACACACCCCCCTGTGCGCGCAATGGGCTACGCGTTTCGGCTGTTACCCGAAAAGGTGGTGGTTCGAGCCACACCGGGGCGTTCAATTTCCTTTTCCTGTAAGCAGTGAGATTAGTCTCCGAAAAATTGCGGGAACTCGGGACGCAACAGACGCCTCCGTTGCGCAATGGGCTAGCCGCGTTCGGCTTACTAACCGAAACGGTAATAGGGCTGTTACAGAGCCCACCCGGGGGCGTTCAATTCTTTTATGAAGGCATGGGAGATTTAGTCTCCGCAAAATGCGGGCGACTTCGGCGGAAGCCAAAACCGTCCGTGGCGGCACTGGAGTTTGCGCGTCCGGCTGTTAACGCGAAAGCGTTGGTGGTTCAGCCCACCGGGCGCGTTCAATTCTAAGAATTGAACGCCCCTGGGTGGGCTCGAACCACCAACCTTTCGGTTAACAGCCGAACGCGCTAGCCCATTGCGCGACGGTGGCCGTTGTTGGCTCCCGAGTCCCCGAATTCTGCGGAGACTAATCTCACTGACTACAGAAAAGTATTGAACCCCCCCGGGTGGTTTCGAACCACCAACCTTTCGGTTAACATCCGAACGCGCTAGCTCATTGCGAAAAGGAGGCGGTTGTTGGCTCCCGAGTCCTCGCATTTTGCGAAGTCTAATCTCACTGACTTCATAAAAGAATTGAACGCCCCCTGGTGGGCTCGAACCACCAACCTTCCGGTTAACAGCCGAACGCGCTAGCCCATTGGGCCACGGAGGCGGTTGTTGGCTCCCGAGTCCCCGCATTTTGCGGTGACTAATCTCACTGACTTCAAAAAAGAATTGAACGCCCGCGGGTGGGCTCGAACCACCAACCTTTCGGTTAACAGCCGAACGCGCAAACCCATTGCGCCACGGTGGCGGTTCTTCGCACCCGAGTCCCCGCATTTTGCGGAGACTAATCTCACTGACTTTAAAAAAGAATTGAACGCCCCCGGGTGGGCTCGAACCACCAACCTTTTGGTTAACAGCAGAACGCGCTAGCCCATTGCGCCACGGAGGCCGTTGTTGGCTCCCGACTCCCCGCATTTTGCGGAGACTAATCTTACTGACTTCATAAAAGAATTGAACCCCACCCGGGTGGTCTCGAACCACCAACCTTTCGGTTAACAGCCGAACGCGCTAGCCCATTGCGAAAAGGAGGCGGTTGTTTGCTCCCGAGTCCCCGCATTTTGCGAAGTCTAATCTCACTGACTTCATAAAAGAATTGAACGCCCCCGGGTGGGCTCGAACCACCAACTTTTCGGTTAACAGCCGAACGCGCTAGCCCATTGCGCCACGGAGGCGGTTGTTGTCTCCCGAGTCCCCGCATTTTGCGGAGACTAATCTCACTGACTTCATAAAAGAATTGTAGTATGAGTAGAATTGGAGTGTTTGTAATGTTTTTTACGAATTACATGTTTTCATTTTTAGTTTTTTCTTGAAATTCTTGCTTTAATATATCTTTTACTGTGTATTACTCTAACGCGTCGACCGAAGAATATGATTTATCAAAGTTTAGATTAAAACATCTTCTTTACTTTCTGTAATGCGTGATGTGGATCTGAATAAAGCTCTCAGGATTTAATTGTTGTGTGCATTGCGCTTTGTCCCTGACACTGGCCTTTTTAAATTTACTGTGTTCGTATTGGGTGTCGTTGGGTAATGTGCTTGGTTTACTTCCCTTTTGACGAACATGTCAGCCAATTGCTTTAACGATCAAATGACGGGAGGTACTTGGGTAGAGTACACGTGTCAAACGCATTCGCCCGCTGCCTTCGGCTAAGTGACTTTTCACTCCGAGAATCCATTTGCTCGAGATAAGTCGTAAGTGGTGCTTGGTCCCTAGGTTGAGTCGTGAGCCACCCCGTCCTCGTGGTGGCTCTCGGGGGCACTTATCCAAGGGCAGGGCCTCAGAGTGCCTTTAAAGTCACGTGGTCGGGATCCGAATGCACCGCTCAGGCGTTGAGTAAAGGGTTGGCTGGGCAGCGTCCAGTTCATGGAAGAAAAAGAGCCTTTTCTCTAGTAATGGAAGTGGACGTTTCCTTGACATCGAGGATTTTATTATAATTGCAGTGATGATGTGCTTTAAATGTCATAACCCACTTCAAGCTTCTTTCAGGAGGTAGAATTCAACCCTTGATATCATGACTCTCGGGCTGATGGCGCAATCAAAATTATTCATAAGGAAATTTAAAAAATAAATGGATGTTAACGTACTAATGTTCATTTACAATTCACTTCCAAAAATACTTCGGTATCAAATAAATATTTACTTTTATGGTTATTTATCAGCTTCTGATACGTTGGGTGTGTTTCTCTCATTAACTTGTTTTACGTTTTGAAACAACGTCTGGAGGAATATTCCGTTCATCCACTTTAATGCTCTTTTATGTTCATCAATTTTTAGATACAAAATTCAAATAACTCGATGGCAGAAAGAAAATAAAAATATTAGGAGATCCCAAATAGGTATTTAAATAACTTTTCCAAAATGCAAATTCAGAAATTTGATATTAAGTTGCCCAATATTCTTTTATTGTTCTATTACTGATCGCAAAATGGATGGAACGCCTGCTATTGGCATCAGCATAGTTTCATGTTTACTGTGTTTATAAAACACACGGACTTTTAATATACACGTTAGAGAATAGAGTTATGTAATATATTAATTTATTTGATTTTACTATATATGTTAGTCATCGGTTACTTTGCTGAAATGACTCTGAATCGAATGAAACAATTTCATTCACATAACGCTCTGCTATTGAACTGTTTTAACGGCAAATTCCTATTAGTTATCTAACAAACACGAACATATGTAAGATGCAGTATTAAAACTAATACTATAATTTTACTCAAAACCTACAATTTAGGGCATAAACGATCATTCTTATCATGTATGGTATAAATTTCATTGCCATGATCGGTCCATAAGGTCTTGAGAGATCTCAAGACTTATTGGACGATCTAGCAGAAATATATTATCCTTCTCGTTTGCAATACCACCTACACTTCTACCTATATTTTGCGAAGCTACATATCTGTCACCACTCGTGTTTCCCACTGAGTAAACAGCGGTGCTCTTTCAGAGCCATCTGACTCTTCGCTCTTGCCAGAGGCGAAGCCTCATCCGAACCACTGCGAGTACTTGCGGTCTTCTTTCGCGCCGCCCCCTCCCCCTCCTCCCTCCCAGGGCGTGGGCGCGAGCGGGGGGGGAGGGGGAGGGAGCGATGGCTTTGCCAAGCGCCGCGCGCCGCACTTGACGCGCGCAACAGCTGAGCATCGACCTACTTCGCGCGCGACTCCGCAGACGTCGGCGTCGGCCGAAGAGAAGGGAAGGAATAACATCACGATTGTAGGAAACGTTTCTCGTCTAAGCGTTCCGGAACTGCGATTACATTGCCCTAGGAGCCAATAATATCTACACTACCAATTTCATATTGGCACTGAAATTGAGAGAAAACTATCATGCATATGGTGATGTGAGAAGTGATAATGTTTTCTTTACAAATCCAGGAACTCGGAAAAAAATCTAAAAACAATTCGATTTTCACCTAAAAATGGGAATATTTGTTTATGTTGTTCTCATCCTGGCTGAATACGCATAAAAAGTTCATCACTGCTTACGACGTCGCTGTCACGTGACAGGGAGACTCCGAATAAAAGCCCATTAAATAATTGAAATTCACGTGTATCCTAATAGATCAGCAACTCTTTTACTTTCTTAAAATATAAAGATTTGTCTTTCTGTGCATACTGTGCATACTGTACTACACTAGGTACTGACTGTTTATGAAACCGGTTTTTTAAAATAATTAATTATTACAGCGTTCTAGCAGTGCACGTTAAACTGTTTGGAAACACATTTGTGTGGTTTTGTAAGAGTTCTGCATTTTTGCTGCTACAGACCATTAATAAATATTACAATTACAGGAAGTTATAAGACAACAGTAGAACATTGAGAATTGTAGCGAATCGAATTTCCATCACCCGCGAACTCCCTTTATCATTAAGTATGGGTAGAAATTGAAACAATAAATGTCTTTGAATGCGTAGTCTTACGCGATCTGAGTCAGTAACTGCTTGGGAGACTGCTGACTGTACGGGAGACGCCGCGACCTAGGAACAGGTGCCAACATTTTAACCGTCATTTTATGACCTTCCTCAGGGCGAAATACTTAGGACAGCGTTACCTAGACAGCCATGAATGTAGCAACTTACATTTTTAAAATCCGCTTCAGCATTCGTTTTTGCACATGGTTGTTTAATGGCGAGGTAATGCGTTCGCATGTGGTCGCCGTTGAGCAGCCGTGACCACCTTTGTAAAAGTAGAAATATTCTAATAAGAAAAGTAAGGTCGATGTTCTGCAGCTAATTTCTAGCACAAAAATGGAAGTATTCAACTTGACAAATTTTCTATAAGAGGATATTAATGTGCGAAACATTTTCAGAATATAAGGTATGTAATTTAATTTAAGTGTAATTAAGTGAAAATTTTATATATCTCATTTGACTGACTCTTTTTGGCTCCCAGTCTGGTATGTTGATAATTTTGACTCATGATATATTCTCTAGAAGTTATGACAGAAGGAGTTCAATTCACTCCTTTTTCTTGAGCAGTGGAAACCGATCAATTTGGAGAACGACTAGCTGTTTTTTTAATACAATCGTACATACAGCAGAGCTCGTATGACATTCTGCAAAAAAATATTTTTTCTTAGAAAACTGTTTTATACCTGAACCCAAGTATCTCGTACATCACTTTTCATGTAAAATGTTCACGTTTATTCTTAACGGTAAGTTAACCAGCCAATTAGAAACGGGGTCATGTTGTCTAGGTTACTCATAACGGTGTACGTAGTATGACCTCCTTCTCACCATAAATTCTCAAGGAATAATATAACGGCCCTTCGTAGTATTTCAAGTTATTTAAGGGAAAACAATTCTTATTGTATTATGTGTTTATTGCCACTTGCTTGTTGTTTTAGTCACATTTGGGTGGACTATTCTACACAAAAAGTCTCTTCCGTGAATTTCAAATCGTACCTCCTCTCTATCTCCTTATTTATGAAGAGTTTTAGAAATAAGTACTAAACAGATCTAGAAAAGTAGGAACCAAAAAGTAGGAACAGAACGCCTGTGAAGGTGTTCTTTTCTATCTGACGCGGTAATGGAAGTAACTTGCCGGCTGCAGAGTGATGGCCGCCGCAAACAGACTGCGCCATTTGGCTCGTCTACTCCGCAGCCACATCTGCACAAAAAATTTAGCGAAATTCTTAGGCGGAGGTATGTCAGCATCCGGGTGGCCAGCCAATGGCAGACTCTCCACGGGTACGCGAAAGGGGGAGGGGGAGGGGAGGATAGCTCGAGGGCGGCATACTCGCGACATGTGCATTGTGACAAATGAAGCTCTTTAAATAAAGCGGTGCGAATGCTGCAGAGGGCCGTGAATCACGGCCACCCAGAGGTTAAATGAAGTTGAGTCATGGAGGCCGAGCAGTCTCCTGGTGCAGAGAAGGCGGATGACGAATTTTCTGCGCAAGTTTTCTTGAGCTTCGGAATCTCCGCGTCCTTATTTTTTGCTATAAACTGCTGCATTACGGACAAACTGTTTTGGGAGCATTTGATAAATAAATTTACACCCCTGTATAATATAAATTATCTTCAACGGCTAATGACCAACCATTTTTTGGAGTAGTGTGTGTGATGCAGCAATGCTACGGGCTGACAATCTGACTAAAGTGCCATTCCTTCTAAATCCTACAAAATAAGAGCTTTAAGGAAACTTACGCATGAAGGAATATAATACTCTTCCAGTTGAGAATTACCGTAGAAATAAAGAATTGTTGAATATATTTTACTTGTGTTACTCTTCTCTTCAAACTAAAGCTGGATAACGTGGGAGAAACATCAATAGTACTAAATGAATAAAATACTGTGAATAAATTATAAAAAAGGACGTTCTCGCGAAATCTTGTAGTTAATATTTTATGATGGATTTGCAGAGCATGACTGAACTTGGAAAGCGTTCTATGGTTCGCTACTTGATGGGTTCGGAACATACTACATCATGGTCTTTGATGAGAACTGCTATCCGTTGACAATGAAAGTACTACCTAACAATATCAATTATTGTTAAGCCTTCATCCACAGTCATTATCAAAACTTCGTCGGCTTCGATTGATTCATATTTAACGCTTCTGACTACAATGTACAACTGCGTAGTTTCATTTCACCGCTGGAGGCTCTAAAATAATTTTCATAGTGTCGTTGAGTTTATTTGTAATGTTATCTCCAGATGGTATCTCTTGGCAAGAGGGTCTTTCTTGGTGTCCTTCTTGCAACCTTTTCTGACTCTTTAGGATACGTATATACTCTCGAATGAGGATATTTGGCCGTGAGAAATTATTAATATTCTTTTCAGTCATGAATTCGATTATGTTCCTTGAGAGTCAGCGCCAAGAGCGGGTTTCAAAGAGTGCTTGGGGACTGATCTGTTGTCAAAATTTAATATACAGTGGCTATTAATGAAGAGAAGTATAAATAGCGAGATAGTCTGAAATTTAAGTGAGACAGATTTTAAGCTTGTGGTTCTTATCTATACCGCAAACTGGAATCAGTTTTACTTCTCATTCGAAAAATGGGTAAGATGGAAATCAGCTACATGGAATTTTTTGATAATGATGATGACGATAATGATGATGAAGCCATCGACGATTGCTCATATGATTAATAAATATCCATAATTTTGGAATCTTTCTTTTTGAAATCCTTACGTATATTAGTACATACGGAACCGCAAGCTTGGATATATAATGACGCCATGGCGGTATGTTGAATTTCTCTCCCCTGGAATTTCCCACTAGCGGGGCACCGCAGTACCCGGGTCAAGCTCTAAGCTCCTTGACTGATGACTCGACCAGAGGTAGTGTAGTGCTTGTAAGTGTGTGTGTGTGTGTGAGAGAAAGAGGAAAGGAGAGAGAGACCTAGTAGATGAGGAAGGAAAGATCGCGCGAAGACCGTGCCCCGTTTGTTAAGTTACTGCGCGGCAGTCGCCTGCCACTGATCGGAGAAAGCACGGAAAACTCGTTCAGAGCAACCGGTTGCTAGAATTTTGATTTAGACTGTTCTTGCACGCGACCTTTTTAACGCAGCGTTGAAAATACGCTACCGTCAGGACTCCGACCCTAAGACCTACTGATGAATGATGCTGCAGAGTTCACGATGTTGCCACAGAGCTCTCGCAGCATGTTTTACCCTATCCAAGAATCATTATTAAGACTATTATTGTTGTCATCGTGGTTTATGCTATGATGTGATGTTTCCGCCCCTGTTGTGTCGGCGGGGGGG